ACTACTAGTAAGGCACTTGTTTCTAGTAGCCTGGCACTTGTTACTACCGTTCGATCCAGTTTTGATCTCGGCACCGAGAGACCCGAAAAACCGTGTGGACTGAGTCGCGATGCTTTCAACATGTCCAGGACGGCCCGGCTTCCACGAGGCCCGAGAAAGCCGGCACGTATGGCACATCGACCAAGCCGAGTTGGTATTTGAGACGTGACAAAGAGCATATGAAAGAGACATATTATACTCATATATATTTATACACTGAACGCTGAACGGTGAGATCTTAGGCATTTCTGGACTTTTCGATCTATGATCTAAGTTTGTTTCTAGCTTCTTGCTACTAGTAGGGATGCCCTTTGTTCCAAGGCCAGGAGCCCCTAGTAGCATTCTTGCTCCTAGTAGCGATGCCCTTCAGGTCTGGAAGGTCTCTGACTCAAGAGGAGAAAGAGGCCGAAAAGGCGAGACGTCCGTTCCGTCGTGCGACGGAGACTCCGTCGTTCGCTGGACTGACCGGCCTATTTCGCTCGACGAGGCGCGACTCCAAACCTTGGTGAATAACTTCGCCAAGAAGGCGTCTGAAGAAGGAAAGTCAAGAAGTTCACAGACCGTCTTGATGTTTTGAGTCCAAAGGACACCAAGTGGTATAGTTGATCATCTCAAGGACCAAATTGAAACTGGCATTCACACCACCTAATGGTCTGGCGTTGTTGGCGGCCCACGAAAGCACTGTAATTTGTGAAGCCTGTTTGTCAACCAACACCTGCATGGAGAGTTTGGTAAAGCCTGACACATCTTCGGATCACAAGTGTATGCGGTTTTTTGCGAGGTGCCAAGGCATTTTGACCCACAGCCCTGTGTGTGTCTGTGGGAGTCTGCAAAAGAAATGCAACGGCGCGCACACACCACCGCTCAATGCTCCTTGTGCCAACTAAAGGTACGGCAAGCCTGGTTGAGCTGTAGGCGAGTCAAAGGAAGTAAGATTTATGGGGGGTCTCTTGAGAAGCTACTAGGAACAAGTGCCTTACTAGTAGTAACAAGTGTCTTACTAGTAGTAACAATAAGAATTTAATTAGAATTGTGATAGCTTCTTGTTACTAGAAGTAAGGCACTTGTTACTAGAAGCGATGCACTTGTTCCTAGTAGCTTCTTGTTACTACTAGTAAGGCACTTGTTACTAGTAGCGATGCACTTGTTCCTAGTAGCTTCTTGTTACTACTAGTAAGGCACTTGTTACTAGAAGCGATGCACTTGTTACTACTAGCAAAGTGCCCTTGCAAAATTCAGAAACGCACATCATTCGACACGACTTGGACGAAGTCGTCGAAGTCGTTGTGCAGAGCGAGATGAACTTCTCGAACCAAAGATGAGCCGAGAGAAAGAAAGCATGAAGCATCGTGAAACATCGTGAAACATTGTGAACCATATATAACTAGGGAAATGATTAAGGCAAATCTTGTTTTTTACAAAAGACATGAAGCATAAAGAAATGACAATAAATTGAAGTCAAACCTAAGAAGTAAGTCACTGAGGCTGAGGGTTCTTCAAAGCTAGACTGGAGCTTTGTAGCTTACTTGCTTAGCTTACTATGGCCTACCCTCCCGGGCCCCCCACAAGAAGTTCTAAAGTTAGATTCTAAAAGGTCTAAAAAGACAAAAGAAAGTCTAGAAAGAAGACTTCAAATGTCATTCGATTCCCGCAAGCGAGCCCTTGAGAGCACATCGTCACATGTTTTCCCACCAGAAACAGTGACGATGCCCCCAACATCCTTTGCGAATTGTGCATGTGTTACTCTTCGTGAAGATTGTTTCCAAACTATGCTCAGGCTGTACGAGGCTGCCCTTGTGTGTTGCTTGGTTGCAAAACCAGCTCGAAGAAGCTCAAAGCATTGGAGTGATGATTGTTCAACATGTTCAAACCATGCGTGTTTCGATACATTTCAGTTGGTTTTGGCTGCGCACTTGATCTTTTTACCAGGTACTTCAAAGAAGGCACAGCTCAAAGATTCGTGACGCAGTATCGAATCGACCTTTTCTCAGCTTTTGTTCGGATTTACACTGCAAAGTAACAAAGTACGTACGCACAACCACTTCTGTCTACTATTTCTTCTCAGCATTAAGGACAAGAGCTTAGAGTACCTCATCCTTGTGAACCCCAAGGCCGGTTGCTTGATCTACATCTATTTGAGCCAAGTTTCATGCATGAGCCAGGTGCATCGCTACTAGTAACAAGTGCCTTACTAGTAGTAACAAGAAGCTATTACAATTTCTTATTGTTACTACTAGTAAGGCACTTGTTACTACTAGTAAGGCACTTGTTCCTAGTAGCTTCTCAAGAGACTTGGT